TTTTTTTTTTTTTTTTTTTTTTTTTTTTTTTTTTTTTTTTTTTTTAATATGGTTGTCTCCTCATGACCAAAAATGTTACTAAGGAGTCTTCCTCATTATGCAGGTCTTGATGTTCTCACAAATGACTATGATGCTTGACATTTTGATGGATTACTGCTATTTGAGAGGCTTTAAGTTTAGCCGATTGGATGGGTCTATGTCCTATGCAGACAGAGAAGAAAATGTAAGTACCTGGACATGTCCCTTAATTTAATACTGTATTCTGCCTGTTAATGTGACATTGGGATAAAACTTGAACCACAATTTAGTCTCTAATGGGCAAATGACATCTAACATTCTTGCTGCTGCTTAAGCAAGTTGAAGCTTATTTCTCTCTAGTCAAAACTGCCAGTATGTTATGTATAGCTCAGCTAAGAATGAATAACCTCTGGGAATAAGGAGGTGAGTTAGCATGTTGCTGCATTTAGTAACATGTATCCAGAAAGGATGCCTTTAAAGGAAGAAAGCAATGCTCTCTTTGGAGGCACTCAGAAGTCAGCTTCTCCGTTATTCAAAGTGATTGGAAAGCTAAGAGGAATCTCCGTGTAGAAGGAAACTTGACTGTAGGTTGATTCTTCAGTAGAACAGGCAAACATGTTGGCTTGATTAGTTTCCCAAAGCATTTAAGCTGCATGAACAGCAATGACTGAAGGTGGCATGGCACTGGAACAGGCTGCCCAGGGGGGCTGTCCCTGAAGACACTCAAGATCCACTGTGATGTTCTCCTGCAAACCTATGCCAGGGAACCTGCTTTTAGGGGGATGGGGGGAGGGGGGCCTGAAATAGGTGATAGAGGTCTCTTCCAATTTCTATGATTTTGTGCATATGACTCAAGAGAACTGTGGAAGCAAAGGATAAATGCATCAAACTTTCAAGGGTGTCCAGTTTGCTTCTCTTCCTTGCCATTCCTGGTCTCAGTGCCTACCACAGTGTGTTGTGAGTGCAAAATGAGAGAACAAGTTTAACTGCTCTTATAAGACCTGACAGGAGCTGTGCTGACACTTAGGATCATCTTTACTTGAAAGCAGTCTAGATGCCAACTAGGAGGTGAGGAAAGTTATTCTTAGTTTTGAAAGAGGAGGAGGTAAACATAGGAGCTGGAAGTAACAGTCAAGGCAGCATCAGAATTCCAGATTGCTGCTTTTGTCAGGAAGTGGAAATATTTTTAAGCTCTACCAGCTTTTGACTGTGCTTGCCTTGGGGAATAAAGTATCTCTGAATGGTAGAATATGCGGAGATAAATTGGGATTGGGATGATGATTGGGACTATGATGCTACAGTCATATCTGTTCTGTGTTGGATAGCTCACTTGATAGAATCAGCAGGTAAGAAAATAATTGCTTTACTTCTTGGTCTCATCCTGCCCTGGATGCAGTTTTTAGATAAGCTTTATTTTGGACTCTGACACTACATGTTATACTCTTCGTTCATCGTTTTAAATTCCAGACATAAGTTGATCTTAAAGTAAAATATTGGCTATGTTGTGTTTGATCCCCCTGCTGTTTTCAGTAGCTGAATTCTCTTCCAGATGCATCAATTTAATAACGACCCTGAAGTATTCCTGTTCTTAGTGAGTACGAGAGCTGGAGGTCTGGGCATTAACTTAACTGCAGCAGATACAGTTATCATATACGATAGCGACTGGGTACGTGGATGGACTGTTTACTTCACAACGTCATAAAATGCTTTCTTTACTGCAGCTTTTGGTAAATGTTTAGTATGCTGTTATGGTGTAGACCACTTCTGTTGTTTTAGCGAAGTGTTTTTACATGATGACAGCATCATCTGTCTATGTAAATATGTTATATATTAAATATACTGCCTAATTTGAAAATGTCTTAGCTTTCTGAGCACAATGTTAGAGCAGGTTTGCAAAACCAGCATGTTTGTCCCTGGGTTATACCAAAAGTAGGATTTTTTTTTTCTTTTTTACTTGTAGATGCGCTGGTCTTTCAATTTATTGTTTGCTGGAATGTAGCAACAATCTCAACTAAATTTTGGATACAGAATGTCTGTCTGAAAGGGCATGATGTAGATCACAGGCAGTCAAGCTAATTGAGTTACTCTGGCTGTGCAGCTACAACAGCAGGACACGGACAAGTTTAAGAACAAGTAGATGTGGAGTTCCATTATATCATAACTGCCCTGCACTGTTTGCTTCTAATACGACTCTGAGCTCACTGATTAGAAATGCTGCTTGGGGGAGCATTAAAAAAGAAAGTTAATGCATCTAATATTACTTACTTGTCTACTCAGAATCCCCAGTCAGACTTGCAGGCCCAAGACAGGTGTCACAGAATTGGCCAGACAAAACCAGTGGTTGTTTATCGCCTGGTGACAGCAAATACAATTGACCAGAAGATTGTGGAGAGAGCTGCTGCCAAAAGGAAGCTAGAGAAGCTGATTATCCACAAAAGTTAGTATCTGTCTCTTCTGCCTTCGTGTGATCACATGTTTCTTAAACCTCAACAGATCTCTGCTGTGTTTTGATACTCAACAGTATTTTTTTTCTTGTGTGAATAGTTTTATCCTTCCAATAAGTGGCCATATAATATCATTCTTTAGAATGTTCTTAGATGCATTGTAGATAACGAGTGAAGGGAAAGCACTTTTGCTTTCTTTTGCTTTTTCTTTGCTGTTTCTTTTTTTTCTTTTGCTGTTTCTGACATTACTGTCTTACAACTGATAGGTAAGGAAAAAATAGGGAAGATGGGACAGTGAGCCTACCTGGAATAACTGGAAGTAAAAGCAGATGAGGGAGTACAAATATGGGGCTAATTTGGAGCTTATTGGCAAGATGGTCGTTTGTTCAACCCAAATGTTTTGGCCTGTCAAGATAGAAAATGTTTAGGCTGGTGATAAATGACAAGTATGTATTGACTGTTGTATTAAATCAAATGATCCAGATTATACATGGAAAAGTAGACAAAATTATCGTATTGCTTGCAGTTTAGCTTATAATAGTGTTCTTCATTTGAACCTACCTTTCATTGTATGGAGCTTATGAGTAGGTTTTCCAGCTATGCTGGCGAACTTGCTTGAATAGCAAGCCTTCAATTAAATCTGGTAAAATGAGCAGAGTCTATAGAAACGTGGAAATTCCTGCTGAACTTTGTAGAAATTGCAAATCTTAAAGCTGTGAAATGATGGTGGCTGCTGTCTGCATCTGTTGTCCTTAATTTAAGAATAATCTGTTATAATGACAATAGAATAAGTCCTCTTTTTGGAGAAATTAGCCAGTGCTGAATGGAACAGCAGTCCTTGATTTCTTTTTAAATTTTTTATTTATTGTGTGTAATCACAGTGGTGATTTTTGTGATGTCCTCATCTAGCTATTTATGCTCAAATATTTTTAGAAAATGATTGAGATGAATTTTCTCTTTTGCAATAAATTCCTATTTTTTAGGTGCTATAGGAATCTTTCAGTAGCTTTTTCTGTGTGCCGTATTTGGATGCTAGCTCAGTGTAGCATTTTCCAAATGCTAAGCTCATTTGAAAAAAATATAATTCTTGTTGCAACTTCTGACAATAATTGGCCATATATTAAACTGTTGAATTTAAGAACTTCTCATAGTATACTAAGGACAAAACAAAAGAACAGAATGAACGCACTTCTGAGAAGATGTAAAGGCCCTGAAAAAGCCCATCTGTAACTGCACACTGCACAGCACACTGCTTGTCACGCCTGAGCTGTGGATTGCCTTTGGGTTTGGATGACATTGGTTAATCTTCATTTGAGAGTTCCATAGCCCTAGCTTTAGTCCTTTTGGCGCTGCGGGTTTGGGGTTATTACCAGAGCTGCCATCTGACATTTTCCAGAGGAGCTCTTTCAGATAAGAGAAAAATGTTTTATAATTATTTGATTGTTATCTAGCCTGAAGATGAGTCCGAAGTGGCAAGGCCAGCCCACAAAACACATTTAGATGACTGCCATGTATTGAATTAGCAGTGGGAACTAGGACTAGGCAGTGTACAGGAAAGATGCTGACTGGCAAGGGCATGTCTTCAGTTTTGCAGTAAGCTGAGTATTTATCTTGTTGATTATAAGTGAAGCTTATCTAAATCCTGCAGCTTAAGTTGGGGTATCCCTGGCAGGAGCTGTGGCTGTGTTCTGTAATTATAAAGGTGATATATTAAAGTAGCAGAAAAGTTGGTGAGTGGGTAAGGAAGGGATATCATAAAGCAGACATGCTGAAGTCAGGCCCTTAGGTCGTGTCTGTTAAAGAATGTGTACAATACAAATGCAGAACCTGAAGAAGTGTAGTATCTTGCAAAGTCATGCTTTTGGTTGAGCTTAGCACCACATTGCAGTCTTTTCTTTCTGCTTTTTGTTGGAAATTGTACAAGAAACAGCACAACTTTAAATTATTTGATGTCAGACTAATATGGTGTGCATAAACTCTTATCAAACACATGATGTAAATAAGAGTGCCTTGTTTTTCTCTTACTATTACAGCCCAAGGTCTCTACAGTGCAAATTCAAAGCCACGTAGTTTGTGAAACTCCAAAAACTCCAAATGATTAAAAGGGAGAGGATGTATTGCTAACTATGCATGACCTGACCTGGGTCTTTTGAATCAGAGGGGGTGTTGATGGGGAAGAGAATCCTACAGCCCAGACCTTACTGGCGCTTGCAATCTGATTTGCACTTCAGAGAGAAACAGACAGGAGAATGGGGGGAGAGGAGGAGAGAGAGAGAGAGAGAGATGTGGAAATGTGTAGGGAGGAGTTCTGAAACTGAGACACAGGAAAGAACATCAGTGTGGGTGATGAAAGGGTATGATGAGGACTTGCTAATTAAATGGGTGCACGTATTAATAAAAACTGAGGAGGCTTAGCACAGAACAGTAGGGGCTGTACGTTTTCTTGCAGTGTACAGACTGAATTTAGCTTCATCCATGCTTGGACTTAAGTAACAATCTTGTATAATTTCAGGATATTTTTACTGACATCCACTCATTTGGTGTAGGCTTAATCTCTACAAGAATTCAGCTCATGTCTGGTGCATTATTTTGTTGTCTATCCCTATAACTGAAGGATTTTTCTACAATGAAACCACTTACCTTTCATATATTTCCTGTCTTGTAGTGGTTAATGCTGCTTACTTTGTTTCAACTAGCTTACATTACAAAGGGAACAAACTTCAGCATCCACCATCTAACTTTATTTGCAATCTCTTTACTGTAAGTAGAACTAATGGCTTTTCTGCTCCGTGTGTGCGTGTGTGCATGTTGAATTGGTGTTTCAATCAGTCCTTCTGCATAGTGTAGGTAGAAAGTGGAAGACCTGCATGTAAACTTGGCACGCACCATTAATTTCTTTTGACTGGTTAGCCTATCAGCTGATGGTGTGCTTTACCTGAGGGCTGAAACAACTGAACATACCGTTAACTTTGCAAGAGATTTATTCCATCTATGCATCCAGCATTGGTGTAACAACTCAAAGAATTTATTGTTTCTGTCTCTAGTTAAAGTCTCTACTTAAAATTTTTCCTTTCTACAGATCAGTTTAAAGGTGGCAAATCTGGTTTAGCACAATCAAAGAGCTGCCTGGACCCTCAGGAATTAATAGAATTGCTGAAATCCAGAGACTATGAGAGGTATGCAGATTTTAATTTTTTTTGTTAACCATAATTTTATAAGTTACAGCTTGTGAACAGCTGTCAATAGTTCTCTTACGAAGTGTTATGTTGATCTTAAGAGTGAAAAGAATGTTGTAGGGGTTCTGCTGTGTTGAGCACTGAGTTCTGTGCTACATTTACATGCTTTCTTTTTTTTTTGTATTTCTTTCTCAACAGGGAGGTTAAGGGATCTAAAGAAAAAGTAATCAGTGATAAAGATCTTGAGTTACTCTTGGATAGAAGCGATCTTATTGGTAAGACAGAATTCTCATCTATGTTAGACAATGAATTCCTGGTTTTGTGGTGTTGTTTTTTTTTTTAATGTACTTTATATCTAGAAAACTGTTGCAGCTTCACTTCCCTATGATTGTGTTGTATATGTGAAGACATGCTTTTAGTCCTTTGCTGACATTGCCAGTAGGATCTGCTGAAGATGATTTAAGCAGAAGTATTCCAGAGAAATTCATTCATGTGTAGTATTCCCTGAGCATAGTGTGAAGGAAAACCAGATGCTCTGCAAAGCAACTTTTCCTGCAAGTTGCTGAAATCGGTCAAAACGTAAATCATCCTCAGAAAAGGATTTCAGCAAATCAACTGGAAAATCATAACTGAAAATATAGTCTGACAGTGCTTTTTAAAATTATGTTGCACTTCCAGTGGATACCTGTGAATGCAGACATTAGGAAAGCCTAGACCATTGCATTTTAGAAAAGGATTTAGTGAAGCTCCTGAGAGAAGCTATATAGTTTCTTGAATTCTGTTTTCTTCTACGGAAGATAGTACTTCAGAGAAAGATTCTAATACTGCTCATTTCCCACTGTTTTTAAGACATATAGTGGAGTTTTTTCTTAAAGCACACAAATGGAAAATATTTTCAAGCACGAACTTCAGTTGCTGACTGTTTAGGAAGTAGCAGAATAATGTTCCTGATGATAAACTTGTTTTCCAAATCCAGATGAAAGAAATCCAGATGAAAGAGGAGTGCATTGAACTTTTTACTCTGCATTACTGTACTTGTAAAGGAAGGTTGCAAACAATTTACCTATCACTGTTGTGTTGTTTTTTTTTAATTCTAGATCAAATGAAAACTTCTGAAACAAATAAAAAGGAAAAAATGGGTGTCTTCAAGGTCCTAGAAGAATCACCAGGTTCCAATGCAGAATGTGTCTTTTAAAAGTGCAGGTGGCCTGTAGTCTTATAGGGCAAACATGTGACATCTGTAAGAGGCCAGTTTCAGTCATTACACGGACTGATCCTTCACGCTAATTCTTTATGGCCATTTTTCAAACCCCTCTGTTCTTTCAGTGACATTTCTGCGTTCTAAGGTGTAACATTTGATAGGTTCATGTTTGTAGTTTTGTTAGCCTATGATAAAGAATTGAAAAGACAAGCATTTCACGTTTTCAGTTAGCTTTTGTGTTCAGTGGTAAAAACTGGCCAAGTTGTGTAAAATCTTCCTGTGGAAGTCCTAAAACACTTTTTTGTATGGTGTTGAATATGATTTTATTGGGAAGGGAAAGAACATGTTGCAAAGAACTGTTAGCTCTTGGTTCTTGTTGTTTTTTGTAATTTCTGCAAATTATTTTGATAAATAAATGTTTGGATTGTCTTAAGGGTTTCCTGGCTGAGGTTTATAAATAAGCACAGCTCGCATGATGTCCATTATTCTTTCTGCACTCGTGTAACTCAACTTCATGCATATAAAAGAAATCCCAAGCTGCAGTCTTTTCTGGTGTAGAGGTCAGCTCTCTAGTGTCTGGCTCGTCAGCTTGCACAGCCGCGTGCCCCTTCAGAAGCACATAGGGGGAGCTATGGGGACTGGAAAGGGAAAATGGAGAATTCTGTCTAGGGAGTACTTTCTGGGGAGAGTTTGAAACTTCAGTGGGTGCAGGTAAATAGATACATTATGCAAAATCCAAATCACTTGGAAGCTTGGTTTTATTCCACAGGTGACAGGAGTGGAAGTAGATAACAAAGCAGGCAAAGTATTTAATTTAGTCACTTTGTGAACATTTGTAGAAGAAGTCTTTTATATAAAAACAGGTTCAGTGTCAAAGGAGTGTTACTTTCTTGTGGGTATGAAATTCTTGCTGTCCTTAGAGCAGTCTGTTACCTTGAGTTGGAGAAAGTCATTTTATATTTGTGGCAGATCCTTATGGAAGTATGGGTAAACAAAACTCTGTTAATGAGTAGACTGACTTTGACCTTTGCCTATTGAAAGCCTTGTCTTGCTTCTAATTCTTCCTAAAAATGCGTAGGCTAGCATTAATGCTGAGGGTAGCATAAGTGAATGAGAGTTGCTGTTCAGTAATGTGTTAGTGAGAGAGATTTGCTTTGTAGAGCCATGGTTCAAAAAAATCAGCCCACTTTCAGAAGGTGAAAACAGTGCAAGTATTGCACTTACTGCTGTAGTTGAATGTAATGCTTGTTGGTTAAAGCAAACCATATCTTCTTGTCATGACCTTGCATTTCGTAATCCTCCAGTGAAGGATAGTTTTCTTACTTGTTATCCCTCTGAACTATGAAAGGACAATCCTCCCTGAACTTCAGAGAAGGCCAGAGTTTGTGCACTTAATGTCTAAAAGCAAAGTTGGAGGCCTTTTCTGGTGTTTTGGAAAGTGGCCTCATTTTTCACAGGTGCAGAAGTAAATTTGGGACTGAGAATGTAAGGATTCTTAGGCAAGGGTGGGGGCTGATTAAGGCTAACAGTTTTAAATTGTTTTGGAGGAAGTAACAACCCCTTTATTGACCACGAGCAGGAAAACTGCTTCAGCTTGATGGACAAATGCTTGAAACATAGACTTGGAAGCTGTGCTCCTTGTCACATGCTGCGCCTAAACACACTCAGCTATTGTTCCTCCACTGAAGTGGTGGGGGAATGCTGGAGTTGTTAAGACCAAATGCAGGGGCAGAGGGCTGGGACCTCAGTACACTTCTTACTATGGTGTGTCCATATGCAGAATTTAGGCCATGTCCACGAGGAACAGCAGGGCACAAGCACCACCTGCTGCACCAGGAGAAAAGGCAGATGTTGCAGTGGCAGGGAGAGGACATAACCAAAATCCCAAGTAAGTCTGTGTTAAAAGTGAGTCTGCTTTGAGCCAAGCTGCATACCCATGTGAGCCAGGCCCTCTTTGGGAGGATGCTTGCTGAAACTGCCCTCACTCTCTTCAACTGGCTGAGTGAAAGTTTCTTATTTCAAACTTAGTTTTTTTATCTTTCCTGAGTAGGCAGTTGAGCATTGTTGTGGACTTGACCCCACTTTTCCTCGTTTCTCATTGTTAACAAGCCTCAGATGCCAATTGCTAAACTCAAGGGGAATTTGTCAATTACAGTCAAAACTGCAGTTGCCAAATACTTTTTGCTTTGTAAAAAGCTCATGTGTTCCTTTTTTTTTCAGTAGGCTGCAACAGCCAGAGCAAAGTCCTCCCTGAGCAATGAATGCAAATTGCCTTGGCGCGCCTGTTCCCATAGTAATAAATTGGATCAACACTGGTATCTGCATTGGAAGCCTCCACTTCCAGCACTGGGCCACAAACCTTTTGTAGTTCCCAGCTACTGCGTCAAGCCCCCCACAATCAGTGTTTTCCCAGCAGTACTGCCAGCCCCCACTGCAGGAGCTTGACTGGGTGATAAAGGGGCCGAGACAAAGTGAAACTTGTCTGTTTACAGCGAGGAGTTGGGGCTCGGGAAATACCAAGCGTGGCTCAGGCTATTCTGTCCTGGCCCATTGCTGCAAGAGCTGAAGTTGGCTACATTTGGTTGGTGGGCGTTCAACAGTGTGGAAAGATTTCATGATTGCACCAGGCCCCAGTTCTTGGTGTCACTGCAACACAGATAGAGCATTGGGGCCAGCATTTCCTCCCTGCTCTACAAGCACAGGGGGTGAGGGGCCAGGAGCCCACTGAGAAAGTAGGAAGTGTGCAGTGTCTGGGGCAACCGCAGCTGGACAGCCCCAGTTACTACAGGGGATGGGGAATTGCTGCCAGGTACTAGCAGGGTTAGACAGTGGATCAGAGGCTCCTCCCTGCACTGGCAGAAGTTAATTGAACATTCAAATGGCCTTGAAAAATAACATGTATTTCACAGAGAGATGAGAGGTTTGTGATTGCCTTTTTTTTTATAACCCCAAAACAACCGTCTGTATGACAAACCCTTCCTGACCCACTGGAACCTGTTGCCCAAAGCCTTCTGTGGGACCTGAGCCAAACTCCTGTGCTCTTGCCAAACACGTGACCAGCATATTCTTAGTGAACATGAGGGTGATGCCCTGCTCTTACCTGCCAACAGCATCTAGGAGGGCAATGCTATGACTGACCAGGCTCCAGCCCAGCCTGCAGGTGCTGGATAGTGCTGCAGCAGAGAGATTATCACCCTGGGAAAACATCTTGAGGGGAGAGTAGTAGCATCAGTGAGAAGGGGGGTATCATACAAGCAGGCCAGGAAAAAAAAAAAAAAAAATTACACTCTCACTTTAAAAATAAAACTACCTGCAGCAGGAGCTGAAAGGTGTATGTATGTGTGCATGTAAGTGGCCTGAGCAAGCTTGGCTTTCGGTAGGTAGGAGCTAAATAAGAATGCCAGATGAGCTACTGTAATAGCACTCTCTTGTTCATAGAAGGAGCTGAAAAGAGGAGCTAAATACAGTTAGGTTTGTGCATTAAAGCTTTTCAGTGGGAGACAGACTTAAGCATTAGCTCAGCCTTACTCCCAGTGAGATTTGGGATGTTTTAAGGGATTGTTTATTCATTTCTGGAAAGGCAGCAGCCACGATGCCTGCACAGGGAAGCAATATAGCTGTGGGGTCCCATGGGATCTGGCCTTTGCCCCATCCCAGCCTGCAATCACTGCTTGTTGCCTGAGACCATTGTGTGCTACTTGGTGATTCCGTCCTGCTGCTCTCCAGGGCAGCACCACCACACACAGGGGACCCAGAAGCCCCAGTCAAGGAGAAAGTGGACACTTGCCTGTTGGAGTCACCCTATTTATTGAATGTGAACAGAAAGCAAACAACTGGGATACAGGTGAGCTGTGATCTGACTTTGGCCTCTGCCATGCCTGTGCACGTGGCAGCACAAGGAAGGGAAAAAATAATAATCTGTGTATTAAAAAAAAAAGAGAGAAATAACAGTGAAAGACAAAAGAATGTTGAATGATTAGTGACACCTTGTGTGTACAGACGGAACTTTCACGCGGCAAGGAAATTCAAAGCCGTGTCTAGCATTCCTTATTGCGAAGGAGAGTCGGCAAGGGGCAGGGCAATACTTTCCCAGAAGAGCAACGATCCACGCTGACCCCACTGCAGCACAGGCTACTTAGGGAAGACAGTGACCACCTCGTAGCCCTCTGGGGGCACCACTCGCTCCCGTGCGTGCTTCTCACAGTAGATTTGATCTTCCACGAAGAAATGTCCTTTCTGCTTGAGGTTGGTGCCGCAGTCACTGCACACGTAGCACTCAGGGTGACGCTGCTTGTCCCGAATCTTCACAAACACCCCTCTGGGGAAGGAACCAGCACTCAGCACCAGCTGTCTGCCAATACAGCCCCCAGTCCAGCATCTCACCATCCCCCCTCCACCTCAGTCTCCCCCTGGCGGACCATTTCCCCTCAACATAGGTCTCACCTCTGCCCAGGTGCTGACAGCACAGAAGAGCAATGGGAAGCCTCCTCTGGAAAGCATGTTCTAGCAAGGACCTCAATTCCACAGGGACAGGTCCTAGTGCTTGTGCTGGCAAGAAGCACTGCAATAGCAGCAATAGGCAAAAGCAGAAGGCAGGTAACAGCCTTCAAACACTCAGGGAGAAAAAACAGGATCAGCTTGACCATCAGGTGGGGTGCAAGCTCCAGGTACGTCCCAAACAACCAGGACCACATGTGGAAGTGACTGCCACCACCACCAGAGAGGCACAGCCAGCCACTGCCCTCTGCTAAGGACTGCCTGCTCAGAGCAGGGACACAAGCCAACCACATCCTGACTGGTCTCAGACTCGCTGTCCCACTCAGCATGGACAAGCTCTGGCTTCCCAGACTGACCCAACAAATCTAAGAAGAACTACACAGCAACTTGCAAACTACCAGCAACAGCAGCACAAGTTGCCAGCAGCATTTGTTCCATCAGCCACCTATATTTTTCACCATTCTTTACTTTTTAAAGCTGGTCATAGTCCTGTGCTTTCACTCCAGCTGTACGTGGCTGGCACAGTAATTGTATGATTTGTCTCTGATTCACATTTATAGCCTATGGATTGCTTCTGCAACAACTCTGATAGTCCTTGGAGATAGAGGCATGCCAGGCCCATGCAACTGCAGTGTGCTCCGTCTCACAGTAGCACAACACTGCACCTGACAAAGCTGAACTCCTCCATAACAATGCAGGTGGGCATCCAGCATTCACCCCTGGAGCTAAGTAGGTTGCAGTAAGTGAAGGCTAAGTAGGAAATGAGAGCAGAGGAAAATGTGGCTGAAAACCTAGAGAGTATTATCAGAGATGGAGGTTGGTTGTGCTGTCACAGCAGCTCTGTATCTAGCTCTTGCTGTGCTAGAAGTCAGACATACCCCACAAAACCAACAAAAATTAACTGCATAGATCCACTGGGAGATGTGTGGTACTGCGTTGGCACAGGAGCAGAAGGCAGCTCTCCAAGCTCACTGCACCCAGCTGCCAGGGCAGGACACCGCTCCATGGCTGGGAGCAATAGGACACGAAAATCATTAAACACATTGGCCTCAAATGGAAAGTTCACTTTACCTCTAAGTGCTATTAACAGATTTCTGGTAGGAAGCAAAACAACAGCACTGAGGCTGTCTCAAAGGGATTTGCTTTGACATGGAACAGTAGAGGGAAACCCAATTCCTGCCTCGCTGCCGAATTTACAGGGTGAGCACTACCAAAGCTGGTGAGAACACACATGCTGGGCTGGACCCTGGGTGCACAGGCAGAGGTTGCTTGCCTTGGGTACAGGCTTACTTACACAATGCCAGATCCACACTTGTCACACATGGGCAGCTTCTGGGCATTCCCAATCGATGAGGCCACCTTTGTGGTGGGAGCCTTGACGCTCCTAAATCCAGATGGTTTGCTGGGATCTCCTGGGGGTGGAAGGAGAGTGCTTCAGAGCATGTGAGATGCGTGACTCCAGGCTTCTCCCAAGCAGATGCTCTGCTAGGGAGGGGTGATGTCCTTCAACACCAGCTTTGAGGCAAAAATTCATGCATGGGAAGGAGGAAGGGACTTAGGGTGTGCAGGGAGGAGTGTGAGAAGGGACACAGCTGATCCTGGCTCTGGAAACCCAGGGCCTGAGACAGTGGGCCCTAAGATGAGATACTGCCCTTTCTCATCTTAAAAGCCCATCAGATATTGGCTAACACATCTCGCATGCACAGAGATTCGAAGCAAAAGCAAAGTCTCAGCCTCAGAAGCATCAGAGCCTGCTTGCCGTGTTCTGAGCACACACTCAAGCCGATGGCTAGATTTGGGTTCAGAAAGAGGAAGTGGGTGTCCCAGCAGTCAGTAAGGCCTTCAAAGCCTTTTCCTCTCCGCTGTCTGGTGTAGAGTGTTGTGATCCCCTCACAGCTCCTTGGTTAACTCCTCGTTGCAGGGATATGGAGCATGTGGCACACTCCAGGGTTGAAAATACCTCCCAATTGCAGGACTTTCAAAGGAGACATCTGGATGCCTACAAAAGTAGCAGATCCTAGATGCTGGATAGGAGGCAAGCCTTTAAATATCTGCAGTCAAAAGGAAGCCTCTAACAAAATGATACCATTGATACAACTAGCATTATCTATGTGACTTTCACCTGTACCAGGCAAGAGCGGAAGAAGGGATTCAGATTCCCACGATGTCACAAAAGGACAGAGGAAGCTGTTGAGCAGACATGTCAGCCTCCCCCAGTGAAGTGGCGCAAAACCCTTCTGACTATTGCCAAGCCAAAGTACACCCACTGATCCTTTTGGAGTGGAAGAAGAATCCTGGAGAGGCTCACCCCAGTGAACAGCAAGGTCTGAGACATTTCACAACCCAGGGCAGCACCACTGGCAGAGAATCAAGGGAAAAAGCTGGGGCACTGCCCACCCCACCTCACTGTCACCCAGCCTAAGTGCCACCGCACTGCCTTAACAGCCACAAACAGTGCACCCCAGGTTGAGCTTACAGCTGTTTCTCCTACACAGCAGCATTTGGCTCAGGGGCTTGCACTAGCTCAGAGCTGAGCGTGAGGTGCCCTAATGGGGACAGAAGCCCGTGGACCCTTCAATCACACCAGGAGGCACCTGGCTGCTACCCCCATCGCTGGCAGTGATCCTTGCTGAGAAGGAAGAAGCAACCACATTTTCAGGTTCTACCCTATCCCCCTGCTTGCTCCTTCTGCTTTGAACAGCACTTTGTCCACATCAGTAACACTGATGGCACATTTTTCAATCTCTAAAGGAATTGGCTTAACAAAATGCCCTAGGAAACATAACTTGTTCCACTCTCTGAAACACCCTAAGCCTCAGCATGCAGGCTCAAGTCTAAACAGAGAGCAGCCACGATGCTTCCCCACACCAGCAGCCACACACAGACCCCATCCTTTCAGCTGGTGTGGATCAGCATAGTCCATGCCTCTGGCAACGCCGCAAGGACTGGTCCTGGCTGGGAGATGACAGCTCTCTGCTGCTGCTCACAAGCCAATGCCTGAAGACAAGCTCAGAGGAGCATCCCACAGAAGGTGTCACTTATTGCCAAGGATGCTATCTCAGCCAGGAACAGTAGTGTGTGAGCCAGGGCACCATCTCCTCTGGGGCTGCATAACCGTGCTCTGTATGGGTGATTACAGCTCACAGCAGAGCAATACCCAAGCCTATCCTGGCCTGTGATCAAGCAGGCAAACCTCATGCCAGGGAATCCCAGTAATGCTGCAAATCTTCAAAGACTGATAAACTAGAGAGGCTTTTGCTTATCTTCTTCAGCACTACTAAGCACAAAGGGGGACCATGGATGCGTGAGAAGTCCTGGCTCCTCCAGTCCCTTCCACGCAGGAGTTGAACCCTGGGAGGGAGGTAAGCTGCAAACACTCATTATTAAGATCCTTTCAGATAGAAATTTTAACAGTAAAGACTCAAAAATCCTATTTTCTCTTTTCCTATTGTTTCCTTACTTCCTTCATTTTACTGTTCCCTTACAGATCACTTAGGTCTAACAGCATTTGGCTGAGCTGTTTTCCTTTCTGATATCTCAGCACCATGCTTTTGTTGGATGAAATTGAATACTCCACTGCAAGCCAATAACACAACAGATGAAGTCTCAACTGGTTTAAGAGGGGGAAAAAAAAAAACCTCATTCCTGGAATTCTTTCCCTAATTATTTGTTTATTTTACTCTATTTAAAGGGAGAAGGGAGTATGATTTGGCTCCCACCTAAGTTAATCAGAGTTTTTATCTAGAAGCCTATAGCCTTGAACTACATGCTGTCCAGATGTCAGATTAAGAGTGCCAAGCAGCACAAGATTTTCACAGGTCTAAAACTGCAAACTGATTGCTGTAACCTTGCTTCCAAATTTTTTATATTCAGTTGCAGAAGATCCTTTTTTCTCCTGTCAAAGGATGGCACCCAGAAACATTAAGATTCACTAAAGAATACTATCTTGTATTACCTGTTGTCATAAATCTAAGATGGTCCTTAAATTGGTGAATATTTTCCAATAGGGGCAAAACTTGGGACAGTCTGGAAGACTTTTGCAACTTCTAGAATTCCTTAAGAACTAAATGCAGTAGGGTGTTATTTCTTGAGCATTCAGTCAATGAATGAGTAACAATATGTGCCCATAGACATCAAAACTAGCTGCAGAGAAGAAATTTAAGAGTAACGTCAGTGAAAGGGACCACAGTTTTTGTGGAAGTCACCTGTACATACTACTTTGAAGAAACAACAGCTAAGGAAGGAGAAGAAAGTTTGAGACATTACTCTGAGCCACCATACACAGCCCAAGGAATGGCTGAAATAAAGGGTGCACCCAGGCTGGGTGCTCAGGAGGGCTTACCTTTCTCCTCTGACTCCAAAATCTCCTGCAGCACTAGGAAGGAAGCAGACTGCCTGGGTGGCTCATGCGATTCTTGGTTCTCCTGGAGCATCTTGTAAACCTCAGAGTCTCTGTCTATGGCAATGCTGCCTGAGGGATGGCTGTGCTGATCTAAACTGAGGAAGGAAGAGAAAACACACTTGTTCAATGGCTAAACACTACAGCCAGTCCCTCTAGCAAAACCATCGCAATGCATCACGTGACTGAGAGACGAACGTGCAAACAAAAGGCAGAACAGGATGCCATGAGACACAGAGGTGCCGGATGTGCTCGCAGAAGACAGCTGCAGCCCCCAGGACTGAGGTGCTGGGCCACCCATGCACTCTGCTGTCATCAGGTTCTCACCACCCCTGGCCAGCCCCAGCGCATTCCCTCTGCTTCCCAATTGCTGCTTACTCCAGAAACTGTCTTACTGTCCAGGAACCAGGAAATAACACTTGCTGGGACAGGAGTCCCCCATAGTAGCTCTGCCACCACTGTGCAGTCCCCACACACCTAAACCACCTGAGACTGCTACCTTACACTGCTGTGACTCTCAAATTCAATAAATTTTATTTCTTAGAAGAATATGCATCTTTGCAAGCACGATATGAAGTGGTAGTGAAAGCCACCTTCACTCAGTAACAGCTGCAGGATCCAGATAAAGGATCCTCTGTTTGGAAATAGTTGGAAATAGTGTTTCAAGTGGGCATTATGTCCACTCCCAAATCGAGAACTTTGCTAATTCTCACTGGAGCAGGAAGCACACTAGACTTGCAAGCATCTGAATCCTGGAAGCCTAAATCCCACTTACTGAAGATTTTCACCCTGAATAAAACAAGATCCCTTCAATTACACAGACAATGTTCTAGATTATCCCAAATGAATCCATGCTCCACATTACATTCACCTTATATAAACTGATGTACTCCCTTCACTGTCCACCTCCAAAATCATTGGAGAGGAAGGCAGTCCTTGGAGTGTGCACACAAACAATGTCTCACAAACATGCATTCAAAAGCAAAGGCTCTATCATCTGAACGAGCAGGAGAGTCAAACAAAGCCATTGCATTTCAACCATGCATTTTGATGGTATGCAAAACATACAGATCAGCTCTTCCAGAGATGTACCAGATAGATATGCTTGCATATACAAAATTTCAGAAAAAATATATAAAAAAAACCCCAATTGCTCAAATTTATATTCTGAAGAGTGAGATACCTCCAATTGTCAGAGCAGGGAATAACTACAGTACTCACACAAGAACAAAACAGAACCCAACAAACAGCACATGCATCTTTTGAAGGGCCAAGGACACAGCGCTGTAATGCCTGCAGTAACAGGTCTCCACACCAGCAGATTTATGCTATCTGCTGTCACAAAGGCACTTCATCTGCTGCAAACACCACCAAATGGTGCCCTTGCCCAAAACAGCTTTGTAACACACAGCTCCAGCACCCCTCTCTACTGGTACCTCCAACCCCAACAATTATGACTAGATTTCAATGCTTCTAGTGCAGGAAACTTACAATACTGATGGAATAACACTGCTTTAAAACAGAGCTTTAAAACTGGCAAGATGATGGTATTAAGAAGACATAAAGGCTGTCTCGCACAGCATCTTCAGAAAAGCAGTCTTTTCATTACTAATGTGACATTATTACAAGTGAACACATTTTGTCAAGCTTATAAAAGTCTTAAAGCTGGGCTACAGGGAGATCTTGTACTCGCTTTTGTTGTCTCCTTTGTTAGCAGCATCAGCCACCCAGCAAAGCTGCCCAGCCAATGTGCCTGCTCCTGGGGAACACAGGATCACCTACAGCCCAACTGGTGACTCATAGCAAGTAACTGCTCTGAGCAATAATACAGCTGTGAATCCATTGCATCCTGCCATCACTTGGCAGCTGTCACACAGCAAAGCCTGCCCATGGGAGCCTGTGGACCAGGACACCAACCTGCTTGTTTCTAAGCGTGTGGTGCTTAGCCAAGGAGGGGACCATAAGGGCTAAGGAACCATGAGATCCATGGGGCCAGCTCCTAAGCACCTCTGAAGAGCTCTACCTCAGTTGGAGGTGTTCTCTGCACACCTGCCACCCACCTGGGCTACTCCAAACTCATAAGTTTTGCCAGACAAAGAGGGAAACACGCAGGACCTGTTTCACCTGGAAATTAAGCTCCTCACACACATCCATGGCCCAGCCAGGCAAACTAAACCACAGCTGACCACATACAGACACATGTAGCAGCACCCAGCTGCAAACAACAGTCATTTTGGTTTGGGAGAAAAAAAAAAAAGCAGCTGTTGGGATAAACACCCTCCCACAGAAAATCCATCCATCGCAAGTGGATCCTCCAGGAATATCCCTTAACTCCTCGCTGTATGCAGTACCAGACACACGGGCAGGCTGAAACGATGTTTTGGTGCTTGACACAAACACAATGCAGAGAAAGCTCCTGTGAAGTCATGCACTGCCCTTGGGAAGGTGAAATGTAAGTGCTCCCTCATGACCAACCAGCACTGGGAGCCACAGACAGAGACAAGGCACTTGTGGACACTGAGACGCAGATGAGAGGATGCTCTGTGCTGGCTATGGAAGTGGCAGGCAGGTTACCTGGGGAAATCAGGGCTGATGGAGGAGATCTGCCCCTGCAGGGAATCCATGATGTTGCTCTGCGAATAGAGCTGCAGGGGAGAATTGAACTGCACATGCAGCACCTTCAGTCCTGGCACCTCCACCTCCACAGGGCTTTTAGGGCAGGCCTGGGCCACGTGCTTCAGCTGCTCCGGCCCCACACGAACCTGGCTGGACAGGGCACCAGGGCTGTGCCTGCCCCGTGCCTCCACACTGGGTGACTGCAGCGGGTTATAGACAGAGGCAAAAGGAGCCTGCTGCGCACCCATCGGCGAGCGGCGGCTGTAGGCACACACCCATGTGCAATGAGCAGCACGGGTTGTGTTTGTTTGGGACGTGTTTGTATTTTATGTGGTGGAATTGAAGGAAAGATGCAGAGGAGGAAGAAAGGAAAGAATTCAGAAGTTAATGGAGAGCTAAACCAATACTCCAAGTGAAATAAACAGAATACTGCCTGTTGCTTCTGCCGGAGGGACACACCACTGCATGCATCACTTTACATTAAAGGCTTTCAGCTGATGCTTTAGCTCCAGCCTCCTTGCTCCAGGTGTGTCCACACACTAAGCAAACCACAGCCACTCCACTCACAACAGCAATGAAGACATGGCAGCAGGACTGAGCATTCAGCCACGGCCCTGCTGTCCACCCTCACTGCTGCCCCTCCCAATTTGGTCTGGGCACCCTGCTGAGCAGCCACTGCACCTCCAATTCCAAAAGAGCCATGTTCAGTGGCATGGCTTCTCCCTGTCCTTCTTGCCTCCTTCGCAAGACCGAACTCTGCAATACTATTTATTTGCCTCATTTACAAATTGCATCAAACAGCCCAGACTTCCAGGGAGCGCTCTCTCCTGGAGGGGACTTCAGACTACACCAGATGGAATTTGACTGCCAAATGGTCCCAACATGTTAACATAAAGCCAGATTTCTTTTCTCCCTGCCATCCCTAACTCAGTCACTGAATGTGGGGTGAGAAGCAAACACCCAGCACCTTGCCCACCAGCTGCAACACATGCAGCTTTCAGAAAGCTCCTGTTTTATGGCTTCCAATTAAAAAAAAAAAAAAAAAGAACAAAAAACCTTGGACTTTCAGGAACAAAAAGTTCCCATGGTGAAGTTATGGTTGTTACTCAAGTAGAACCACAAAGCTTTCAAGATTGAGATTATTTTAAGTCTCATTCATAAAATTATTCACACCACTACGAAAAGTTTTATCTAGATATTAAAGCTCGTGAGAAAAACTGAGTCGGATAATAAAAATAGGAAGGTCAAAGCCTGTCTGTGAGCACCAGGCCAGTTGGGAGCCAGGATGGATGTTCTTCCTGCTCTAGCTGCACCCTTCCTGCCCAGCACAGTCACAATGAGATACCCGCTGTACAAAGAGCTCACAGTGAGCTGTCAGGCACCTGTTCAGACCAGCAGGCTTGCACGTCATGCTGAATGCACATGGAAACTGCGTCGGTCTCTGCTAAACAAAGAAACACAAGGGCGTTAATTTCATCTCTGCATCATGCAAGACGTTCCCCTCTCCCAGGAGATCTGTCCCTGGGTGCTGCATCCACTCTTGCCAGTCTGCTCCGTCCCCTGTCCTGAAAGAGAGCTGTTACATTTCCCCAGCTGGGCAGAGCTCAGAGGCATGGGCGATACTTACAGCTTGCTGGGCTCAGGGGGCCCAGGCGATGTCTTTGACTCCACAGCATTGTTGAAGGTCTGGAGATTTTCTGAGGAGTAGAGGCCCGCCGGGCTGTTGTACTGAGCAGTGATCACCTTGGGGGCAGAAGCCGTGGCAGCAGTGAAGGGGACCGCGCTCCGGTTGTGTGCGCTTCCTATGTGCCTTATTTCCTGCATGCAAAGGAGCAAAGGCACAAGTCAGAGGTGCTCAGGCGTGCAGGGGGATGTGGCAGGCAGCCCAGAGCATGCAGCTGCTGCAAGAGTCACGCTGAAATGTGGTGGCACCTGGGAGCTCACTGCCCCAAAGAAGATGAGTGTCCTCAACATGTTGGTAGAGCCCGTCTCCATCCTGGATGGCCAACATGGCCTCTTCAGGCTGGCACTCAGGAGGTCATGCAGGTAATGCACCAGGAATGCAAGATCTCCGAAACACAGTGACAGTACGAGATCAGCTGCTGCACACCTGGAAGCTCTGCAAAGCTATGGTGAGGCACAGGACCCACCTTTTCATGTAAGACTACAGATTTTAAGTATTCCCTGCAAATCCTGAAAGTAGGGTTAATTTCAATGGAAAGTGAAGATTGATGGGCAGACAGAAGAGCACTCTTCAACAGCAGCTGAAAGGCTGATTTTCCCAAGACAAGGGCACACCAAAAAGAAGGAATCTGACATAACTATAAATGTACTAGACTACATCTGCTTCTTCAGCAAAGATTGGTCTCACAGCATTCTTTCATGAACAACTTAGAACTATCTGAACAAAAAACACTGCCCCAGAAGAGGTGGGAAGATGACAGTTGTTAACACAAAGGACTGCCCACAGGCAGCGGTGGCTAAATGCCTCGACAAGATCAGAGACCTCCTTAACATCAGAAGAATCACCCAGACATTCTAGGCTTGCTGCAAATTGGAGCTTCCAGAGGCGTTAGTGGATAACTTAGGAGAAAATTCCAGACAAATGTGATGTAAAAAAAAAAAAAAAAAAAAAAAAAAAAAAACCAACCACAATTCTGAATCACATGCAGTTCTAACAAAAATGGGGAAATTGGTAGCCCCATCTTCAGCTCAGCAGGCTGGGAACCACAGCCCTAGGGCAAAGCTAACAGCACCCAAGGCTTGCTCCTCCTGGAGAAAGTGCTTAGCAATAGCAAGGAGGGAAAACAATGAGGCCTCAACAGAGAAGGCAGAAGAAAGTCCACAGAGGTGACTGAAATATTCAGTGCTGAAAGATGGCACTAAAATGTGCATTTTGAGAAGTCTGGGCCAGAGGCTGGGAACGGCTTCATTACAGGGCTTGCGCCCACTGGCACAGGATCAAACAGGGCCCTTCTCAAATATGCTGGGCCCACACTTCGTTGTCATAATTGGCACCACCAGTTTGCTTCCCACTCCATACACATGCTGACTTCTACACCAAGGAAGTGAGCTTTCACTGTCCTTTCAGTGTCTCATGGCTCTCGTTCGATAGAGCTATAGTTACAGAATAAACACTCATTAGAAACAAGCATGACTAAATTCCCCTGCAGAGCTTTCTTAAAATTGCTTTTATGCCTCAAGATTTCCTTACGCAGCTGGCTAATGTCCCTGAACTGACAAATGGGAGTCACCTTGTTCAATGGCACACACAAGGCACACACAGGAACCCTTGTAGAAGAGGAGAACAGGTCCAAACACACTCATGAGATACGAGTCATGTGCAATCAGTGGGGTAGCTCAAGAAGTTCAGGTGTGGGATGATGGGATTGCTCTCCCACAGCTTTCTGGCCAACACAAATGGAAATCAGCCATGAAACTTTCCCACACACCAAAGGAAGACAGACCCTGGAGTAATTAGCTAATCTCCTTTGTTACAATATCATTCAAAGTACTCATAAAAATAGTCTTTCCCATGGCAGAAACTGTGGATATTAGCAAAAAATAATAATTACTTCAGCCTGTAAATCACACCATGGGGAAAAGTATCAGTGCTCTTTTTATCAGCATTAAATGCATATGTTAGAACACCATTCTGAGGCAGCAAGTGGGAGAGAGTATATGCAGACATACATATAAGTAGTCAGTTTAATGAAAGACAGAGGCAGAAGTTTTATGCTAAAGGAATACTCTTAGCTTACTCTTACCTATACTCTTAGGTCACATAGGCTCAAAGATTAAATCATGTCAATCTCTATTGTGCAAACACTTCAGTATTAACCAAGAATTAGAGAAGAGGAAGTAATTTAGTTTTTTGTTTGTTTGTTTTTAATTTCTAGCTTCCTAAGGAAGGTTTCCTTAGGAAAGTCAAGCAGTTTCTTAAGACATCTCAATTACATGCTCTACACGCATGTGGACACGTTCACATCCCGACCAAGGACTTCGAATCTGTCAACCAAGCTCCAATCAGTCTGACAGCATGACAGAAGCCTGAAGGACCATTAAGCATCCACAAACATTGAGAAAACAGGGACCTGGATGGAGGAAAAAGATGGAAATCACATTAGTGCCTGGACTCAACAGCAAATTGTGCTCAGGCACTGAAGCCACGTTGGAAGTTTCTGACTACTTGCCACCAGGTAAGTTTTCTGCTGTTTAATAACGTTCAAGTCTAAGCTTCCAGAAGCACCAGGACATCTGTAGCAGTGCTCACAAAGCTAAAATCCATGAGAGACTGTAAGGGAGTTTATAACAGACCAAATAGAGCATAGAGAATCCTGAAGAGGATGTCTGAAGATTAGGTCAGAAAAATCCCATCTCAAGAAGAACACGGAAGATCTGTAACCTGAAAGTCAGACAATATAGCAAAAGCAATAAAATTATAAAGAGCATTTGGATAACCCGAATTCTCCATCACTTTGTCACACCATGCTGCTTTTTCTGCTCAAGCAGTGGAAGGAATTTGTGAAGAACAAGTACTTTCACGCAGCAAAACCAAGATCAAAAGATAACCTGTTTTCCCTGTTAAATGCATTTACCTAGGGATTTGCCAGACCTGCCCACCAGGCTCTGGGTTGGGCAGTTGCTTTGTGAAAGCCCCAGCTCCAGGAATTGTGCGTTTATGTCAGTCTGTGATTTAGCACTGGAAAAATATCAGAAATGAGGCAGTCCCACACCTGGTCACCATCAAGCAAAAAACGTATCACAGTGCTGCAGCCTCTTCCAGGCAGGGAGCAGCCACAGCACTAGCTGTGGTACAGGGAAAACATCCCCGCACCAGAGCAGGAAGCGGCTCAGCGTTTCCGACCACGCCAGCATGACGGGGAATTCTCTGGGAGAACAATGGCCCCTTCTTCCTGCTCACATCAGGCCATGCTTGGGGATGCCAGGTCTGTGAAATCGCCATGGCTGTGCCATCCCCTGCAGCATGGCTGGCTGCCTACCCCACAGCTGATTTGCAAGCAAAGTCCACCTCAGGTACAGCCCGAGGCTCCACATTATGGAATCCAGGGAGCTCAAGGAACTCCTACTTGATGCTGCAAATTTAAGCTATCAGCACCCAGGCACTGCACATGCAGGGAGATGTTCTCCAGCACCCCCGCAGCCCTGCAGGCCCCAGAGCCAGCCTCACAACCCAGCCAAACCGCATTCTACCAGCCTGCAGAGATGGAGGCTTGGATGCTGGAGCACACGCCTCAAGAGCCACGCCAAGAGGAAACACGATTAAAATTTTCTTGGCACAAATGTTTACTCAGCTCAAAGAAAACGGGCCCCTGACCAAACCTCAGCAAAGGAGAGCGCCATGCATGCAGAGGAGAGCACAAACCCACAGCCAGCGTGCCTGGCCCCATCCCCATCCATGTGAGGCCACATGCGAAGTGAAGGCCATGCTCGTGCCTAGGAGCACCAGTACCTCTGCAGAGCCTGTCCTCACAGCCAGCTCCAGCTGAGGGAATGCTTCACCAGCTGCAGGCACAAGGAGCGGCGCCTTCACTTTCACCTCTCCCTCTGTTATTGTTTGGGGTTTTTCAGCTATGGAAAAATCTTTTGCAATGCTTTGAAATCTGATTAGAAATTAGAAAGGGTTTGGGGCTTTGTTATTGTAGGGGGGTAAAACAACACGGCTGGCTTCCCACATCCTCTCCCTCCAAGTCCTTAAAGCATTCCACATCCATGCAGTAACGCCTTTTAACCAAAACCAGCAGGTCACCATATATTGTTATTTTATATACCTATTGCTTCATGCATTGCCCACGCACGCTTGGCCTTATCAAAGACCAGGCCTACCACACACCCAGTTTCTATAGCCCTGGCCTTCCTGGTATCCAAGGAGATAAAGTACACAAGATGGAAACAATGACATCACCCAGCGAGGACGAGGATGGGGATAAGGCAAGCACTCTCACAAGGAGCCTTGGGAGGACAGAAGCAGCTGTCTGCTCTTGCCATCCCACAAGTACCATGATTCACCTCCAGAACTCCCTCGCTCCCTCATCTGCAAGTCTGGACCTTGTTTCTTTTTCTATTTTTTTTTCTTTTTTTCCTTTTTCCTCTTGTAAAGAGCATTCTTGAGTTTGAAAGCCCTTATCTTCTATGGTTGAGAAAGATGTGATGTCAAAGTGAGGGCTTTCAGCTTTTCTTGGAGACAGTCCTGGCACTGACCACCCTCAAAGCCAGTCTCTCCCAGTCACTTCCTACATGATCTCACTAAGCACAGAGACCTTGGCCCACTGACCTCACTGTCACACAAACACAGGAAAAAGCCAAACCTTCTCCCAGAAAGCCTGGATTTAGCAAGGCAAGGCACAGACACAGAGATAACAAGATTTTAAGTTCGTTTTACTGACAAACAACACAACAGCACAGCACACATGGCTCTGGAGCTTACTGCCTGGCCCAGGCTACCAGAGAGCATGGTAGTTTGAAATCATCCTGTCCTCTGGTCATACCACAAGCATCAATATTAGCTCAGTTACCAAAATAAGTTGTTCTCTTGCTTGCGATCCCTTTTCCTAAAAAAGTTAAGCAGAAGGGACAGGCGGACGTGTTATTTTAATCTTTCCCACTGCAGTGCGGAAAAGCTCTTGATGGGAAAATGACATTGAGTGAATGCCCTCATGATCCGGGTGAGAAGTGCAAGTGAAATAATTGAGTAAATATACGAAGAAGTCTCCGTCATTTCCTTCCCATCACGTTGCCATGGTCACACCCAAAACAAAGCCAGCACAGCAGCAGAGCCATCACCACCGATAGGCTGCTACACCTTTTGATAAAATGCGATTTTGTCATCACTCTTGCCTTGGCTTGAATGAATTTAAGAGGATAAAGATAAGAATAATGAAATAATAGGGCCGTGGCTTTCTCATTTGAAAAGACTAGCACAGACAATGAAGTCAGTCTTGGTATTTAGGACTTTGGGGAATGCATGGGAGGTTGTGGAATGCCTTTTTTTTTTCTCCCCTCCAAAGGCACTCAAAAGCATCTTGAGCTTGCATTCCAAGGGAAAATACTCACACAGACAGATGCAGCATTACACCAAGTGTCAGCCTCCAAAAAGACTACAGACATAAACAAAAAGCTTATTGCAAATGGTAAAAAGAGTACAAGCAGTGATCTTAGTGTCTAATTAGCCACTTATGACATAAACCAAAAACTATTTTGCAAGATCACTCTCAAAGATTTAACTGTAGAAATGAAATGGGAACAGGCAGAGAAGGTGGCCAGATGCTGAGAAGTTTCAATACAGATAGTGAAGTTGGGGATCAATGTCAAATAGTACCTCATTTTAAGAAAGGGAGAAATTATTTGAATAATTGCTCTCCAATCTCTACTGCAAAGGCTTTAAAGCATTTCTTTTGAGTCTGAATTAACTCTATTCACGTATATTATGGTATTGCTGCATTCAAAAGGCTGTGATCAAATACAGTGAGAAACATCTTCAGAGAACAGTGAATCTGGCCCTAATGAACTACTTGGACTCAGCATGCCTTATTTTCTTTGGTAAGGGA